AGAAGTCTTTTGGACTACGTTAATGGGTTTAGGAGGAGATTGGTCCTTGCGGGTCAGACAGCGCGAGAGAATTTAGAGAAGAAACAGGAAAAAATGAAGCAGTTATTTGACCGTAATTCTGAAGTCCGTGAGTTTTCTCCTGAGGATCAGGTGCTTGCGCTGTTGCCTTTGCCTGCTTCACCTTTTCGAGCAAAATTTTCAGGCCCTTATATAGTTACTCGCCGCATATCCGAGTTAAATTATTTTATTTCAACCCCAGATCGAAAGAAAAGTGAGCAGTTGTGCCACGTAAATTTGTTGAAACCATATTATTCCCGTGATCAGACTGATTGTAAAACATCTGCTGTGTTAACGGTTTCTCAGACAGATGAAATTGTACTGGAGATGGAGGAAGATGAGGCTCCAACTGATTGTGTGCTGCAACCGAGGTTATCCAATACAGAGACGCTTCTTAATTTAGAGAATTTAATGCGCCATCTAACTATTTCTCAGAAGGGAGAATTAATAAAGCTGATACACGAATTTCCAGAGTTGTTTGGCGATGTTCCATCTCGCACCCATTTGATCGAACATGATGTGGATGTTGGTGACGCAACACCTGTTCGTCAGCCACGGGTAAAGCAACAGGCGTTAGAGGCTGAAGTTCAGTATTTGCTTGATAATAACTTGGCAAAACCATCTTGTTCTAGTTGGGCTTCACCTTGTTTATTGGTAAAAAAAATCTGATGATTCATATCGATTTTGTACAGATTATCGAAAGATAAATAAGATCACTAAACCTGATGCTTTTCCACTTCCCAGAGTCGAAGACTGCGTGGATCAAGTAGGGGCTGCTAAATTCGTAAGTAAATTCGACCTGTTAAAGGGTTATTATCAAATTCCGTTAACACCTCGAGCGCAAGAGATCACTGCGTTTGTGACTTCTTACGGATTATATTCCTATTCTGTAATGAGCTTCGGATTGCGAAACGCTCCGGCAACGTTTCAAAGATTAATGAATCGGGTTGTGTCAGGACTTTCAGGTTGTGCAGTCTATTTAGACGAAGTAGTTGTTTGTAGCGATACATGGGAACAACATCTGGAGCGTGTTCGTGCTTTATTTTTGCGGTTATTGGAAGCGAAACTCACAGTAAATTTGGCCAAGTGCGAGTTTGCCAAGGCTACTGTGTTCTATTTGGGAAGGGAAGTCGGACATGGTTACGTGCGTCCCTTGAAAGAGAAGGTGCGGGCAATTGAGGGGTTCCCCATCCCATCTACAAAAAAGGATTTAATGCGTTTTTTGGGAATGGCGGGCTATTATCGAGGGTTTTGCCCAAATTTTTCTTCTGTAGTAGCCCCATTAACAAATCTATTAAAAGCGTCTGTTCCATTAGTTTGGTCCTCTGGTTGCCAGCAAGCATTTAACAATGTTAAACTTCTGCTTTCCTCAAATCCAGTTCTTGTTGCACCGCAGTTTGACAAGCCATTTATGATCCAGGTGGATGCGAGTCAGATTGGGGCAGGTGCAGTTCTTTTGCAAACTGGGTTGGATGGTGTGGACCACCCAGTTTGTTATTTCTCAAGGAAATTTAACTCCTATCAGGTAAACTACTGTTATTGAGAAGGAGACACTTGCTTTAATATGGGCACTCCAATATTTTGAAGTTTATGTGGGAGGTGGTTCTCAAGTTGTTGTATTTTCAGATCATAATCCGTTAATTTTTCTACATACACTAAAAAGTCCCAGTCAGAGATTGATGCGGTGGGTTTTGTTTTTACAACCCTATAATTTGTTAATTAAACACATAAGGGGTACGGACAATGTGTTTGCTGACTGTTTGTCTCGAGCTCATTCTGAGTGATGTGACTGAGTGGGTAAGTTGTCTGGTAGTCTTGTTGTATCTCTTCTTTTTCTTAAATGCTTTCAGGATCCGGTTTGCTGGAGGAGAGGAGATGGGGCAGGAGTATGCCAAACTGTAGCTTTACTTTATACCGTTTCATCCTAAGAAAATTTAAGCAGTACTAATGTTTAAAGTTTAGAGAGAACAAAATAGGGAAAAAATAGTATAAAAATTGAAGAGAAATTATTGGTATTTGTGGCATTTATATATTTTTTCTTTTTTTAGGGGGGGAGATGTTAGGTCCCATGTGGGACCTGTTTGTATGCGTGTTTGTTATTTGCAGATTCTGCGTGATGATTGCAGATTGGTGAGTGGGTCATCCCACCTGAGACTCATCTCGAGTTGTTTATAAGGAGTCCGGCATTCTGTCTGGGAGAGCTCGATTAGCCGGACGTCTCTGCTTGGCGCTTTTGATTTATTTTTGTGTTTGGATCATGAGCTCAGTACACTTCCATACACATGCTTTTCACTACTGACTTTCACCTATACTGACTTTGATTGCTTTAAATACTTTTGTTAATTATACGTTTTGTTAATAAATCATTTCTCTTTTCAATTTACCTGGTCTGTATTGTCTCTCTAATGTTGCAACTTTGAGCCGGTTGTAACAATTAGCAAAGCCTACAGCAAACAGAGTTTGGGGTCTACAAAAAATACATCCGGGCTAGTGAGATCACAAGGGCTTCCGGTTACACGCATTCACCACGTTCATACACCCCTTGCAGAGAAGGGCTGTGGTCAGAGGTGTCGTAATGTTAAAGCAGTAAAAGTTAATGGCATCCAAATGTTGCTTTTTCCACAGAGCTTCTTCTGTTTCTGTATTTGAGCTACCAAAGGACACGACACAAAGACAGAAGTGCTAACAGTTCAATATTAATTATGTTCCAGAGAATTATAATAAAATATATAGCTCTAGCATTTGACAAAGGACAGCTTCCAAAATCTCTCCCAGTTCAGTGCTGGATTCTGCTAAGAACTCTTCCAATTAGGGCTGTGCAATTAATCGAAAATCCGGTTTCGATTTCGATTTTGGCTTCTAACGATTATGAGACACCATTAATCGAGATAAACGATTATTGCTTCATTTACCGCCCCCTTTCCAGTTGTACACTTGTTGCTCTTAAAAGCGCGAAAGACCGCATGATTTTGTGTGCCGAGCACACAGAACAGATGCATGCAGTCAGCATTCGGTCTCAATCGCACACTGAGACGAGGAGTGCGCACACATCTAAAGTCATCTTAACGTGAGCGCTTTAATGGTCAAATAGGTGTCAAAACGCGGTGTTTAGTGATTTATATTAACCCTCATTTGTGTAATAAACAAACAAGTTAAGAATCAAAAGACACGTGAAAGAGAAACAATTAAAGAGACAGCAGGCGATAATCCTTCTGCCGCCTGTTTTTGTCATTAATCAAACAACAAATGAAGAACATGCCTATCTACTCTTGACTGAAGGACTTTTTTAGCTAAAGTGTTTCTTACAGTGAAGACGCTTAAAGCACAGTTTGTTTCATATTTTTATTCTATTGTATTGATTTCTCTTTCCTTTGCAGGGTGGAAAATAACTATATATACAGTTGAAGTCAGAAATATTAGCCCTCCTGAATATTAGCAACCCTTTTCCCCCCAATTTCTGTTTCTTGTTTTAATAACTCATCTCTAATAACTGATTTATTTTTATCATTGTCATGATGACAGCACATAATATTTGACTAAATATTTTTCAAAATACATTCATTCAGATCCAAAGTGCGATTTAAAGGCTTAATTAGTGTAATTAGGCAGGTCATTGTATGACGTTAGTTTCTTCTGCAGACAATCAAAAAATATATTGCTTAAGGGGGCTCATATTATAGACTTTAAGATTGGTTTCAAAATATTTAAACTTACTTTTAAAATAAAAGAAAAAAGCCTTTCTCCCATAATTTGGGAAATATTTATTTTGAAAAAAAATTCTCAGGAGCGCTAATAATTTTGACTTTAACAGTAATTGTTTTGAATAATCGTGATTACAATTATGAAAAAAATAATCGTGATTATGATTTTTCCCAAAATCAAGCAGCCCTACCTCCAATCATAATACCAGAAGCTGTGGACTGTGGGCCACAACCTGTAGGTGTTTTTTTTTTTTTTTGTTAAAATTGATCCATTACATGCACAGTTTCTAGCGTTGACGGTATGTTGTAGGGGGGACATAAACAAGAATGTAAACAGAGGGAAATGCTGTTTGGCACCGCTAACAATTTAGCTACAAATTCATATTTATCCGTCAAACCAATGTAAACACCCACAATCTTCTGCAGTGTCTCTCTTTGCTGCCACCTTCAGTGTCTCTATATGTGGCCGCTTTCCGTGCGTTCTACATCTTAAATAACAAACACAAAAGATATGTCAAGGTTTCATATTACTTACACATGCTTATTTTAAATATGTGAAAGACACTTGTCAGATTTTATTTTATAGAGCAGGCGTGAGGTTTAGCTGTGTCCTCTTCATTTTCTGTCTGATTCAGCCCCAAACTGATTCAGCTAACAGTGACTACAATGACAGTGTTGACACTGCACAAAATCGCTTGCTTATAGAGGCGTGACACTTTTCCTAATGACGTGGAGCCAATCTGCGAATCACGGCACATTATGTTAGCTAACCAATCAGAGCCCCTTGAGAATGGGCAACGTCGTAAATTGTATGGCAAATGTAAACACATCAATCAGATAAGGGTCACAATTAAAAGAATGTGTAAACGGACTGGCAAATAAACCAGATATAGGCAACAAATCCGAATTAGGCATCAATACCTGACAGCGTAAACATGACCAAGAAGTCCAATGACTGTGTTTTCATCAGCCAACTTCAGGAAGTGTAGGCATTTGTAAATAATATATAAATATATATATATATATATATATATATATATATATATATATATATATATATATATATATATAGTATTTATAATAATGATAATTAATTATGCAATGAAAATTATAAAAATTGAGGACAAATTTACGTTTTTGAGCCACACACTGTAGTGCCCTGACAAATGTGTGTGGGTTTGGGAAACATGTGGCAACCTGACTGAATTCCTTCTTTTCCACGTATCCACTCCTCCTATAAGAGGAAGAAAAAACATTGGAGAGAGCAAAACTCACAGAGAACGACCTTTTAACAAGGATACTTGAAATGGGGGTAAATGTAACAGCTTTAACTTCATTTATCTTTCATGTTTAGCATTTCTCTAGATCTATGGTCTAGTAATGTTTTAAGTCATAGAGCAAATTAAAGTTAAACCGTGGCAGTTTTGTTTAGTCTTGCCAAGCATGTCTTTTTGTAAAATCAACATACTAATAGACAGAACTCTAGTTTTAAAAGTATAAAACTAAACCTACATAAAACATGTAAACAGCATGTATAGCAAACCCAGCTCTGTGTTGTCTGTTTATACATGCTTTAGTCTTTGTGGGCTGAAAAACGGTTAGACATTGTGGACTTTTGCTCCAGTAGATCAGGTTTCAGCTGGCTTCTCAAAAAGGCTTTTTTTTTTTTCTTTTTCTCACTTCCAGATTTGTTGCCATGTTTGGGCAGAAGTACTCCAACTCCCCTGACAATGCACAGAAGCTGCAGTCTTGATGAACAGACTGTGTAAAACGACCATAGTCAGTCTGATGAAAACTTTCATCACAAGGTTAGTATTATATTAACTTCTTAAAAATCTATTTCTTAAAATTGTGAATTACTAAATAGAATCACAATTAATATGAGAATTGAACCCAGCTCAGAACTAACCTTTCTTTCGATTTATACAAATTTACCTGGATGATAACAGTAAATTATTGAGAATATAGTTTATTATTCCTCCTACAGTACATTTCTTCAACACAGAAAATCCTTCAACTGTAATATGATGCATAGGTCAATTATTATTTGTCTATTTCTTTGTAATGAGACAACACTTTAGAATGAAGGTTAAACCCTTCTATATCAAGAAGCTTGAGGTAGTTGTACTGTTAGACACATTTTCAATTCACCATTTACAGCGTCTGGTCCGCATTTACAAATATATTTACTAATGATTAGGCAGCACGGTGGCGCAGTGGGTAGCACGATCACCTCACGGCAAGAAGGTCATTGGTTCGAGCCCCGGCTGGGTCAGTTGGCATTTCTGTGTGGAGTTTGCATGTTCTCCCTGTGTTGTCGTGGGTTTCCTCTGGGTGTTCCTTTCCACCCACAGTCCAAAGACATGCGCTGTAGGTGAATTGAATAAACTAAACTGGCCGTAGTGTATGTGTGTGAATGTGAGACTTGGGTTGCAGATGGAAGGGCATCCGCTGCGTAAAACGTAAGCTGGATAAGTTGGTGGTTCATTACGCTGTGGCAACCCCTGATTAATAAAGGGATTAAGCTGAAAAGAAAAATGAATGAATGAATGAATGACTGAGTAAATGAATGAATTAATGAATTACTAATAATTATTGTCTTCTGTCTTTGCCATGATGACAGTAAATAATATTTTTCTGCTTATTTTGCAAGATACCAGTATTCAGCTTAAAGTGACATTTAAATTCTTAACTCGGTTAATTAAGATAACTAATTGAAGTAGACCAAAAGATCCTCAAAAGCTAGACATCATGCTGAGATCCAAAGAATTCAAAAACATATATAAAAATTTGAGATCTACCAGTCTGGGAAAAATTATAAAGCCATTTCTAAAGCTTTGGGACTGCAGTGAACTATAGTAAGAGCCATTATTTACAAATGGCAAAAACAACATGGAACAGTGGAGATCAGCAGTGTTTAAAAACGCGCTCAACAGCGCACTATTGTTTTTGGGAAATCGATATATAATTGAAGTATCGCAAACTCAATACTTTTGACAAGACTGAGTTTAGGTTTATGGAGGGTGTGCATTCCATTATGTGTGGCACAAAAGTAACACCGCATTTCTAAAAAAGAAAATCATACCATTATGATCTAGGTTGACTTGCTGCTTAATGACCTACATGAGTTCTGCTGTGTACCAACATATGCTGAAAGAGAATGTCCAGCCATCTGTTAGTGCCTCACGCTGAAGCAAACTTGGGTTCTGCAGCAGGAAAGTTATCCAAAATGACCAAAGCACAGCAGAAAAACTAAATTAAGACTATGGAGTGGCCTGGTCAAAATCCTGACCTGAATCCAATTGAGATGCTGTGGCATAAGCTTAAAAAGGTGGTCCATGCTTGAAAACCCTCCGAGGTGGCTAAACAACAGCAACACTGCAAAGATGAGTTGGCCAAATTTCCTCCACAGTGCTGTAACACAGTGTTTCTCAACTGGTGGGTCGCGGCACAAAAGTGGGTTGCGGGAACATTTTCAGTGGGTCGCGGAGTGTGTGGTCAAAAAAACAACAAAAGTTACATTTTTAACTTATTTTGTTTATACTGGAATTTTATTTTGAAATGCGCATGCGATAACCCTACTGTTTGACTTGTGAAATTTCATTTAATTATAGCAATAAATATGCACGATGTTAAGTATGGATTTACATATATTGACAACAAAAAAAGACATAAAGCCTCAGTGTGTCATATGTAGTGAGGTGCTCTCACAAGAGAGCATGAAACCTTCTAAACTAAAACGACATATAGAAACCAGACAACAATATGTTTAATTAACAGTTCAGTTTAGTTCATGGTAACCGAACCTTTCTTTACCTTAACCACTGTTTACAGAATTTGTCATTTTTACTTTGTAATATTTCTATAATTTGATACATTTTGTTAAATGACAGTAATAAAATACTGTTTAATATTAAGTCTTGGTGATTTTCTTATGATTTATGTCACTTCTTGTGTATGTTAACAAATAAATACAAATTCATTATAATTCCTAAATTTATATAATAGTTCCTAAAAATGTGGGTTATGGCTTGATGACCATGTCAAAATGTGGGTCCCC